CACTGCACTCTGAACCCGGTGACTTCAATTCAATAGTAGGCGACGGCTAACATTAGTGGCGAATTTGAGATTAGTGGCCCGATCTCAGGCCTACTGAGCGTAAAAACTCATATCCAAACGCGAATTAGAGATATGTTGCCCGATCTCAGGCCCACTGAGCGTAACAACTCACATCCGTCCACGAATTTGAGATTAGTGGCCCGATCTCAGGCCTACTGAGCGTAACAACTCATATCCGTCCACGAATTAGAGATATGTTGCCCGATCTCAGGCCTACTGAGCATAACAACTCACATCCGTCCACGAATTTGAGATTAGTGGCCCGATCTCAGGCCTACTGAGCATAACAACTCATATCCGTCCACGAATTAGAGATATGTGGCCCGATCTCAGGCCTACTGAGCGTAACAACTCATATCCGTACACGGTCCTGGGCCAGTGATCGAAGTTCTACTTTCCCGTTACAGGAGCCAGTCAATGCGTGAACAGAACTCAGTCCGCTACATGATTGAACGGTGGCGCAGTGGTTAGCGCACAGCGCTTTGAACCCGGGCGACTTGATTTCGGCTCCCGGTCATGGCTGTATTTAGGCATGTATGTATGTATAGAACCTCTTTCGCACCGTACGCTGCCAACCGTGCCGATTGGAGGTGGCGTGTGACATGTGCTCATGTGTCAACGTGTAGCTGGTGGCGCGTGTGTGGAGTTGTGTAACCATCAGTGTCTTGAGAGGCAACGGCGGCGGCGCGTTGTGCCTTACAGCCCCCTTCCCCTCGCCCCTGTCGAGCGCCGAACCAACCTTACCAATAGTTACTCGTTAACACGCCTTGCCCCAACAGTCTAAACCAGTGGTCTTCATTGCAAAGGTCAGTGGGCCACTGGCCACCCATGGTGGCCTTTGATGCGGCACCTGACATGAGACCATCACCCCATCATCGTCGTGCTGCTGTCAAACCCAACAATGGTTTCGAACGTGTGGCGGCCCTCGCACTGATGACGATGTCTTGATCGGCGAAAGTGCCCCCCCCCACACTCACCACCCCCTGCCTGAAAATGAGCAAAGAACACTGGTCTAAATCAAGTTCATACGGTTGAGATCATTGCCATTGTATTTTTCTTTTATGCACGTAATCGAGAGGTTAAACGTGCCTCCCACTGTACGCGACTACGTGGTGAGCGAATCTACTTGAGCGTGCCTACGGCCTCAATCCCACCGACCCTTGACGCCGGCAAACATCTTCCACTCGGCAAGACGATCCACTCTCTGCGCGAACCACAAACACGGGACGCGTGCCTCGTGCCATTTACCCGTTGCGTCCTGCCGCCACGTACGCAGCACCCGCGTCCATTCCTTTAAATATGTGCGTAATCAGGGGCGACGGTTAGAGCGGGGTGTGGAGGTTATCTCGGTGCTCTCTCCGACACCATCTCCTCTCCACCTCTCTACTGCTCCTCCTCGCTCTCGTCTCCCCTGCGGGACAAATCATCGCAGCGTGTGGCCCCGACGGTCTGAGCCTCCTCCGTGGCCGGATACGGAGGCCAATCATGGAACCGATGCGCGCTTCTCGACCGATGCCCCTGCTCGCCCTCGTGGCGCTGGCTCTGACTACTGGTTGCCTGGCGCGGTGCCTGGTGGACAGAGGTAAGGGTCTAAAGAGCTCTGGTCAACATAGGGCGTGAGGGGGGGGGGTCTTAAGCGGTATTTACGCAAAGATTATGAGTGCACACAGCCACCCAACCTCACGGTGTGCACCGTGATCGGCCAGAGGCGAAGATGTCCCCTTTAATCTCGGTAGAGGCCGCGGAAAGACAAAGTACCAGATTTAGACGCAAATCCGCCTCGGCCCATCAATTTGAGTCTTAACGCCGCGCCTAAGCGAGTCCTCTCCTGCGCTCTGAGCTTTTAATCTCCAGTTCCAGGTCCATCGCTCTTACCTTGACGGGTACCTGTCACATTTGGTAACAGTTACTCAAAGCATTTTAGATTATTTTTTTCCTCAACCCCCGAGGTTACCGATTTAAATTGACCCTTGCGCGCTGTCCGGCACTCACGTCCACGCCTCCTCTGTTAACACCTCCGATGAGCGCGGTTGGCTACGCGAAAGAAGTTCAATGTACGTACATTCAGCACACACGACACCTGCCTATTCGTGCGTGACTGCTCACGGCTGTGAAGGATGTCGTAGTTCTGAAAACTCGAAAGTATCTTTGCAACTACCTTGGCTTTCTCGTTAATACTAATACTAATTAACAATCATCATCACAATGTCAACCTGTAGCGCGCCGCAGCCGCGTTATATTCGCTCGCTCTCTGAGTCTTAATGCTCTCGAAGCGAGAGAGCGAGAGATAGCGACTCACAGGCGTAAGGAGCCGCAGACGAGTGGAAAAGGCAGTCAGACAAATGAGCCGGTGCCAAATCCCCCACCACCACCACCACCATGTAAAGATGTTATCGATCAATTAATGAGTATTTACACGTGGGCGAGGGGACAACACTCTATCCCATGCAGAAGGGACAGATGGAGTCCGCATTTTGCAGTTACCACCATCGTCTTGACGAGCCAGGGGTTATGACACGTCAACGCCGGTGGGAAGGGACTTTCACATAATTTCTGCGATCCATAAACCCTCGCCTGCACATTGCTGTATTAAAGGCCACATGCATAGCCACCCACCGCCCACTGACATCCATGAACAAACCAACAAGATCGACTCGCCACAGACTTGAGAGACAATGCTCGAAACGTGGTCTTAAAATTAATTGCCATATCGGGAATTGCTCCCATCGAATATTACGAGTGAGACGTGTATGTGTTTTAATGAGATTTACGCTCTCTCTCTCTCATAGTCTCAAATGGTTTTTTGAAATACAAAATTCCTTCTCCAGCACTGTTAGCTCCATCTCGTGTCTCCAGAACCTCACTTGCGACATCAGCCACCACGTTCTAAGAGCTCACCGCTGATTTAATCGATGGAAAGTTTTAGAACATTATAAATGACTTCGTGTGCTTTCTGACTCTGCCTCTCTCCTCCTGTTGCATGCAAGGCACGGTGGGAGTCGTGCTTTCCTGCGCCTTCCAGCTGTTTCGTGAGCAGTACACCTTTTGTGCGTTGCTAATACAGCAACACACTCTATAATGTGATGTCGTCTAGGTTGTTTAGCCGTTCAACGGAGCCGCTAGTGAGTTGATGAATTGCCGTGATGCCGCCTTTCACTGGTCTAGATGGGCAGCACTTGACTATGTATTCCAACCTTCCGCTAAGCCCCATGCCAAAGCATAACAATGTACGGCAAAGTACTCGCTTAACGCGTGCTGTTTACACGATAACGCGTTTTCGCTATAACGCGGTTCTTCCATAAGTGAACACTTTTCGCACAAGGCGGAACGCGTGCACCGTTATTACGTGGAATGCGCCCGTTATAACGCGGTTTGTGAGCAGTCGACGACGAACTACTTTCTTGAGCTACGCGGCTGAGCGGTACGATACAGTACGCGGTACGATGCAGTACGCGGTACGATACAGTACGCGGTACGATGCAGTACGCGGAACGATGCAGTACGCGGTACGATGCAGTACGCGGTACGATGCAGTACGCGGTACGATGCAGTACGCGGTACGATGCAGTACGCGGAACGATGCAGTACGCGGTACGATGCAGTACGCGGTACGATGCAGTACGCGGAACGATGCAGTACGCGGAACGATGCAGTACGCGGAACGATACAGTACGCGGTACGATGCAGTAACGCGACGGCGTACCCTCCATTATTTGTCCCGCCATCTCACTGTGTGCGCGCGCATCGTTATCTCATCGTTATCTCGCCAAACTGTACCGTCACATTATCTATGGGGGAATATTTGTTTTGCTGAACGCGTTTTTCGCTTAATGTAGCCCCTCTCCAGGAACGCATCTACCGCGTTAACGGAGGACTTGTGTGTTTGAGTCCATCTACCCATTGGCTTACAGACCAATATTATCAAGCGGCATGCGTTAAGCAGGCAAACTGTGTGCTTGGTCTCATCAGCAGTCAGGCTTGTTTAAAAAACACACGCTGCTGAGGTATTAACCACCTACACATCATATTACACCCGTTTTGGGCTCCCTGCACTGGCTTCCAGTTTCACATAGAATACAGTTTTAATATCCTATTGTTAACTTACAAAGCAGTGAACCATCTTGCCGCAGCCTACATCATTGATATGCTGCACTCATAAGTCCCCTTAACGTCCCTAAGATCTAGGGATGCAGATTTTCTCTGAATTCCCAGGTAGAGGTTTCGGTCTGTGGGTGACCGATATTTTTCCCGTGTAGCCCCCAGGCAATGGAACGCTCTTCCACGAGACATCAAGATCTCTGAGTCTGTGGACATTTTAAAAACGCGCCTTAAACCTATTTATACGCCTTCGCTTATTATTTTTTTTTCTAAATTTAGCAAATGTTTTTAAAAATGTATTTATACTATTATTTTTACGCTGAGTGTCTTCTGCTGTGTCGTGTACATAGCTTTGACGTCCTTGATGAAAAGTGCTTTATAATTCGATGTATTATGATTACTGCATTGCCAGATGTCAATGGCACTATTAATTGACACATTGACTCACTCTTTGATTGATTGATTCACTTAACACGAAGGTTTATCGGCCAATGGTATGATTCATAATTAATGATTGGGTAAGGCCACGTAATTATCTGTCAACATTGTACGTCGCAATCCCCCTCCTCCACCCGACCCATCCATAGACGTGGTATTCTACAATCGTTTAACGCGTCCAACTGCTCCTACTACCGTAGACTTGTTCACAGCTGACCGGTAAAAGTTGAAGACCAATTCTCACGCCCGAAGGCGGCAATCAGAGAGCAATTGGGTTGCTCAGCGTTGGCCGTTAGCGACGGACGCGGAGCTCATGCGGTCTCTCCCCCCCCCGCTCCGTCTCTCTCTCTCTCCGCCTGGACTTGCCCGGGTTCAGGTCAGCTGGCGACGACCACGGTCAAGACACCGAGTCCGGAGTGGTTCAAGATGCTCAGCTACGACCCGTCCCTCCCCGAGCCTGTGGTCCCACGGCCACCTACCGAGCCGCCGACCACCACCCCCACCACGGGGGCGCTGACGAGGGTCGCACCGGGCAAGGGTGTCCCGCACGGTGAGCGACCCAAGGAGGAGCCACCCAAGGAGGAGCCACCCAAGGCTGAGTCACCCAAGGAGGAACCAACCAAGGCTGAGCCACCCAAGGCTGAGCCACCCAAGGCTGAGTCACCCAAGGCTGAGTCACCCAAGGAGGAGCCACCCAAGGCTGAGCCACCCAAGGCTGAGTCACCCAAAGAGAAGCCACCCAAGGCTGAGTCACCCACGGCTGAGTCACCCAAGGGGGAGCCACCCAAGGCTGAGCCACCCAAGGAGGAGCCACCCACGGCTGAGTCACCCAAAGAGGAGCCACCCAAGGCTGAGCCACCCAAGGCTGAGCCACCCAAGGCTGAGCCACCCAAGGCTGAGTCACCCAAAGAGAAGCCACCCAAGGCTGAGTCACCCAAGGAGGAGCCACCCACGGCTGAGTCACCCAAAGAGGAGCCACCCAAGGCTGAGCCACCCAAGGCTGAGTCACCCAAAGAGGAGCCACCCAAGGCTGAGCCACCCAAGGCTGAGTCACCCAAAGAGAAGCCACCCAAGGCTGAGTCACCCAAGGCTGAGCCACCCAAGGCTGAGCCACCCAAGGCTGAGTCACCCAAAGAGGAGCCACCCAAGGCTGAGTCACCCAAGGCTGAGTCACCCAAAGAGGAGCCACCCAAGGCTGAGCCACCCAAGGCTGAGTCACCCAAAGAGAAGCCACCCAAGGCTGAGTCACCCACGGCTGAGTCACCCAAGGGGGAGCCACCCAAGGCTGAGCCACCCAAGGAGGAGCCACCCACGGCTGAGTCACCCAAGGAGGAGCCACCCAAGGCTGAGCCACCCAAGGCTGAGTCACCCAAAGAGAAGCCACCCAAGGCTGAGTCACCCAAGGCTGAGCCACCCAAGGAGGAGCCACCCAAGGCTGAGTCACCCAAGGAGGAACCAACCAAGGCTGAGTCACCCAAAGAGAAGCCACCCAAGGCTGAGTCACCCACGGCTGAGTCACCCAAGGGGGAGCCACCCAAGGCTGAGCCACCCAAGGAGGAGCCACCCACGGCTGAGTCACCCAAGGAGGAGCCACCCAAGGCTGAGCCACCCAAGGCTGAGTCACCCAAAGAGAAGCCACCCAAGGCTGAGTCACCCAAGGCTGAGCCACCCAAGGAGGAGCCACCCAAGGCTGAGTCACCCAAGGAGGAACCAACCAAGGCTGAGCCACCCAAGGCTGAGCCACCCAAGGAGGAGCCGCCCAAGGCTGAGCCACCCACGGCTGAGCCACCCAAGGCTGAGCCACCCATTGAGCCTCCAAAAGAGGAGCCACCCACTATTCCACTTACAATAACAGAGAAACCCAAGAAAGAGCCAGCCAAAGATAAACAACCTATAGCTGTGCCACTCACAGAGGAGCCACCTAAAGTGGAGCCACCTAAAGTGGAGCCACCTAAAGTGGAGCCACCCACAACTGAGACGACAACGACTGAGCTATCCCAGAAAGGGTCAGCCAAAGAGAAGTCACCCAAGAAGGCGTCATCCACCACACAGTCATCCACCACCAAGCCATCCACCACACAGTCATCCACCGCTCAGTCATCCACCACTCAGTCATCCACCACACAGTCTACCACCACCCAGCCATCCACCACGCAATCATCCACCACCCAGCCATCCACCACACAGTCTACCACCACTGTGCCTCCCAAGAAGGGGTCATCCACCACACAGTCTACCACGACCCAGTCATCCACCACACAGTCATCCACCACACAGCCATCCACCACACAGTCATCCACCACACAGTCTACCACCACGCAGCCATCCTCCACTCAGTCTACCACCACTGTGCCTCCCAAGAAGGGGTCATCCACCACACAGTCATCCACCACGCAGTCATCTACCACCCAGCCATCCACCACACAGTCATCCACCACACAGCCATCCACAACGCAGTCTACCACCACCCAGCCATCCTCCACTCAGTCTACCACCACTGTGCCTCCCAAGAAGGGGTCATCCACCACACAGTCATCCACCACGCAGTCATCCACCACACAGCCATCCACAACACAGTCATCCACCACACAGTCATCCACCACACAGCCATCCACAACGCAGTCTACCACCACCCAGCCATCCTCCACTCAGTCTACCACCACTGTGCCTCCCAAGAAGGGGTCATCCACCACACAGTCATCCACCACGCAGTCATCCACCACTCAGTCATCCACCACACTGTCATCCACCACACAGTCATCCACCACGCAGTCATCTACCACCCAGCCATCCACCACACAGTCTACCACCACACAGCCATCCTCCACGCAGCCATCCACCACTCAGTCTACCACCACTGTGCCTCCCAAGAAGGGGTCATCCACCACCCAGCCATCCACCACGCAGTCATCCACCACACAGTCATCCACCACGCAGTCATCCACCACCCAGCCATCCACCACACAGTCTACCACCACACAGTCATCCACCACACAGTCATCCACCACCCAGCCATCCACCACCCAGCCATCCACCACGCAGTCTACCACCACTGTGCCTCCCAAGAAGGGGTCATCCACCACACAGTCATCCACCACACAGTCATCCACCACACAGTCTACCACCACCAAGCCATCTACCACACAGTCTACTACCACACAGTCATCCACCATCAAGTCATCCACCACACAGTCATCCACCACACAGTCTACCACCACTCAGTCTACCACCACACTCCCGAGTGATCCACTAAACAAGAAGGCGGGTAAACAGTAAAGATAACAGATAGGAGAGAGATAAGCAATAGCATAGAGGTAAGAGATAGGAGAGATGATGGATAGGAGAGACGAGAGAGGAGAGAAAGATGTGATAGGAGGAAGATATGAGAAAGAGAGAGATACGAGATAGGATGGAGATAAGTTATAGCAGAAAGATAAGAAATAGCAAAGAGACACTATAGGAGAAATATAAGGCACAGAGAGAGAGATATCAGCCAGACTCAATTATTTGGGGGAAACCCTATGCGCAAATAAGTCCATTGCAGGGGGGGTCGGCAAATAAAATAACGAGAAGAGATTTTTTTCGAATTTGGCAATATTACAAGAGCCCCATTGTAAGTGGTGAGTATGAGGCGGTGGTGGGCCTTGATAAGAAACGTCACGAAGCAGTCGTTAAAGATCTGCGGGTTGGCCGAGTCCCCTCTCCTGGTTGGTGCTGGGGCGATGTGGACTTTCCCGAATTTTGTCCACCAAGGGAATCGTCGCTGACGCAGAAAGGGCCGCTCGGCACTTTTTTTTCCACACCCAGCCACGACGCAGCAAAAAAACCGTCCAAATTTGCCTTCAATCGGAGAGTCGCCAGCCACATCGGCCTCGCAGCTGAGATTTCAACGGGCAAACGAGCGGACGAAATCCCAATCGATCCCACTAGGAACGGACGAATTAGCTCGTCCGTTCCAAGCGGTTATACAAACATGCTGACGGAGCAGCGGTCCACTGATTAGGTCTAAAACTAAAGAGCTCTGCAACAAAACAGCGCAAAGACAAAGTGCCGGGCATGCCGCGGGATCGCACACGGGAGAGGCTGCGGCATTTTCGAACTTTAGTTTCTATGGGACCCTTTTTTTACAGTAATTTTTTTTAATATTCTTGGTTCTTTCGGTAAAGTCACGTAGAAGGAAACAATAAAATAATAAAAATATAAAACAATAAAATTCTCACGACGTTTCGACTGCAACACAAGCAATCATCATCAGGTGTGAAAACCACAGCAAGAACATTTTCTAATTTTCTTGCCGTGGTTTTCACACCTGATGATGATTGCTTCTGTTGCAGTCGAAATGTCGCGAGAATTTTATTGTTTTATATTTTTATTATTTTATTGTTTCCCTTCTACGTGACTTTACCGAAAGAACCAAGAATATGAATCGCTGCAGTCACGAAAGCTTTAAATCAAAAGTATTTTTTTGTTTGTGTGCATGTTTTGCCACAAGTACGTGTGGTTAATGCAGACTTGATAGGCCTTGGCATAGGTGTTGTATATTTGGTGTTTGAACATCTTAACACCTCCTGTTTGATTGCCAGAAAGGGTAAAAGCATATTCTTACTTCTTTCGAACTTTAGTTGTTTATACAATTTTTGGAACCGACCTAAAATCTGTGGCTTTTCCCTCCAAATCAACCCTCCCTCCCTCCCATGTGCTTCTTTGCATGGTTATTCCCCGAATTAGCCGCGTGAATTTACTGAGCTAACCGACGAGAATGGAAGAACATGATATTTTACTAATGTAAAGCTTCAAAATCACATCCCAATCAAATGTTTACACTGCAGTGATTCAATAAGAACACAATGTTACACAAGGCATAGGAGAGATATAAACAAGAGGTCGGAGACGGTGAAGAGGTAGGCGAGGTGTGAGTTAAGAGAGAGATAGGACATTGAATAGAGATAAAATATGAGAGATAACAAGAGAGAGATTAGAGGAATTGGATAAGGGGTAGGAGAGAGATAGTGGAGAGAGTGGAACGTGATGAGACACCGGTGTGTGTGAGGGTGGGCATGTACCAACAATTAATCAAACTTTTAAAATATATTCTTATCCGCATGATGCATGCATCGAATCGTGCGTCTAAATAGTCGATTATTTCTCATTTACTATGCAAATTGTATGCTTATTATATATTGTAGGCGTGGGGCTGCGAGGTGCCGTGTGTCTCCGAGTTCTCTGGTTTCCTACCAAACGAAGCCAAACACTGGCGAGATGCGACATCCCTCGCCCGGTACGCAGTAGGTTACAGGTTCGATCCCGGACCCTTACGATGCCTCATATATTTGGACTTCGCGTGTTCTCCTTCCCCGTGGTTATGAGGATTTGTCTCTGGGTCCTTCGGTTTTGCCCTCCACATTTAGACACGTGTGTTTATATTATTTGCCTGCTGCTATCAATTCCCACGTGTGACGATGATGATATAAGCCATTTCGATGAGCTATCATCACGTATGGCCAGGTCGCCTTTGACAGAGAGCTAATAGATCAGTGAAATATACTATTTTACAATAAAACATTTAATTGGCCAAACGTCCGAATGCAGCAGGGCCCTCCTGAAAATACATTTTGAAACTCAGCGAGGCTGCTCCTGTGCAGATAATTGCTATTACTATAATGATTAATCAGGACCATTCGTTCAATTTAGCATTCCATAACAAAAATAGCAGTTGCATTCATGGGCAATGTGCAGCATAGGTAGTCTGAGAGTAACTTCGAGAGACTCGAGAGAGTTCAGCTTTGGTACGAAGAGGTGGGTGAGTCAGGAACAACGTCTGTGTTATTATGCAGGTCAGATAGCTGCAGGCGTTTGATCAAGATTACTAGGAAAAGGCCTCTTGTTTTCAAACCACAGATGCTTGCAGAGGACGCTAGGAATTTCATGGTAGGAAAAGGTTGATAATACAGCAGAAACCGTTGGCAGGAGAGCATTCGAGACGTGAGCAGGACGAGGAGGGGCTTCTGATTGGCACACGTGCGCGGGATGGAGGAGGGCATGCGACCGGCACAGCAGTTGGAATAACCACCCAGAATGTTGGCGACCAAATGGAAGATACCTCAAGCCAGGTGGCGGCGACGATGAGAGTGGCCTTTGGGGGTGGACCTGTTGAATGCGTAACAAAGGGAAGACCTAACGCCAGATGGCGTGAACGATCAGACTGTGAGAGAGATGGAGATAGGGACCTTCGAGGCTGGGTGTCGACTTTGCAAAACTGCTGCATGAATTCCCCCCCCCCCCCCATGGAATCACCAGCACTTATGTTTGTCATACAACTCTTTATGCCTCGAGTTTCCTGTCTGATTGCTGGCTGGGCTCCTGTACTGCACACCCCGACAATGACTATGTCCATAATACAGTTTTTTTGGGTTAGATCGCGTAAATATGTGTCGTTAAACCCGCCACCACCCGACACAGCCAATTAGTAACGGGGGTTGTCACATAAACAGAACGTGCCAATTCGTTACAAGTACAGCACACACCGTTTTTGTGTCGGAGGGCCAAGCCACAACATTGACAATCTGTCGGGTGGTGGCGGGTTTAACGACACATTTATATATTTACGCGATCTAACCCAAAAGAAAGCCTGTTTTATGGATGATATCGGTCGTGAAAGCCCAACCACGTGTTAAGATGCCGATGTCGTTGTTAGTGGCTGCTGCGGGTCTACGCCACAGAAAACTAAGCTGAGTAAGTAGTAACTGGCCGAATGGAGTTTTCCGTGTAACAAATACGCAATAAATTGCGTTGAAAGGGCGGAAGGAGAGGTTCGGAAGACGAAATTACAATATTAATATTAATTATCGATAGCGACACTAAAAAAAGTGTGAGTAACGAATACAGAAGACTGACCACGGTTAATTGAAAATTGCTCTAACTTTTTTTTCAACCCGTGCTTCTTATTAATACAACTCTTTCGCTAGAATGTTCTTAAAATCCTATAATGTGTATATGAACTCACAACACATATCAGGATGGTGAGAAGGGTATGAACATGGCAACTGTAAACAACAATAATCACACGCACCTGTTGCTGTTAACGCCTGCACTGCTGGATTGAGGGCCTCCCCACGCCGTAATGGTCGTGGGGGTTATTTGACCATACTTCACCACGCCAGTCGGTGCGGGTTGGTGAAGGTGGGGCAGATTCTTCGACAAAGAGGGTAGGGGCGTAGAAGTACAGTACAACAATGGACATCACTGCACCTCCCTCTGCAGTGCTACAGGTTGTTCCAAAGCACGGTGTCCCAAACGTATCCTCAACTAGTTTGCTTCCGTTCCATATACGGGTTAAGTAAGTCGTTACACGCTGACCGCGCCTGATGATTGCGAAACACTTCCCACGTGAGCCACGTCGAGTGTGTCGTGGTTATCGCACCTGCGCCTACTACGCATCCGGCAAATCTGAGCTAAATTCATCGTCACGATCAACAGTGGCGAATTTCGAACCGGTCCTGGGCCTCCCCCAGGTCGACTCAGCCTTAAATGGGCACCTGGTGTGGTGTGTACACATCGCCACGAGGGCGTGGTGTTGGCCACCCACCCCGTCGTGTGCCGTGCCGGCCTTCATCGATGCTGGCGAACATCACTTGCCCCAACAGCCTGTTGAAGGCTATGCGGGGGGATCTTGTCTTTGTGTGGTTAGCGAGCACCTATTAAGGGCAGCACGGCACAGACGGGGTGGTGTGGCCAGCCCCACGGCTGGCTGTCTTTGTCCCTGACAGTCTATGTAGGCTATACGCGGGGGGAGGAGCCGGGGGGAGATCCTTGTCTTTGCTCCACGTGGCTTAAGAATGTGCTTCACAACCATCGGGCTCGTATAGCGTGCATAACGAATTGAATCGCATTTGAATGGATGTACACCGGCAGATTCGGAATCACGTACTTTGCTGGGTCGCGAGAAGCATAGGTTGGGGAGACTCATTTATTTGAAGGCATATTTAACAAAGAAGTCAACGCAACGGGGTCCTCGTTCGTTGCACCCCAGTGGCGTGACGCTAACAGCATGTAGTAACACATTTCCAGTAATCAGTGAAGGTAGCAATTGAAAAACATCTGATATTTAACAACAACAACAAGAATAATTAGATGTACATCATTGATATTGCTTCACACGTGCAGTACTCATACGTTATTCATAACGAAAACACCCACGAATAAAAGAGGGCATTGTTATTTGAAGGCATTGTTACCTGATCTGTGGACTCGAACCCGTGTCAAACGAGGTTACCCCTCCACCTCACCCGCCCCCTCCACCCCACCCCATCCCCCCACCCGCCCCCTCGGTCACAGAGTCTCCTGATCCGACCTCTGCACCCCCCATCACCCTTCACCGGTGCCTCTTAGTCAGGTAACTGTCACTCCACAACTTCCACCCCCCCCCCCCCCCACGCATCCATCTCCCAAAGAGTATAATTGAGCTGTGTGCGGTGAGCGATTTATGTATTGGCTGTGTGTCCAGATCCGGTTGTCCCTAGAGTTCAAATGCCGCTATCCTTAGCTCACTTCGCCTTGCGAAACGAATCTCTCTCTCTCTCTGCTCACCCCACCCGGATCTCGGTAGACAAACCGCAACTCATCCCGTGCTGTTGTTTCGCTGGATCGCCTCCTTGACATCAGAGAGGAGGAGGTGGTGGACGAGTGTGGGAGCGGTGGAAGAGTTGGTGGTAACGGAGAGCTCTGGAGAGAGAAAGTTAAAATAAAACGCCAGTGCATTTGAATTAAAAGCACACAGGCATGAGAAGTTAATTTCCCACTGAGCTAAGGAGCTCTTTTTCAAGGGTGACTCGGCGGGCATGTAACATCAAAGCATTGCCACAAATGGAAATGTATGTACGTACAATGAATACCGCGTACAAATTATGCAGTTACAACACAGGAGTGACGTTAATGCGTCACAACATGTTCATGGGTCAGGATTTAAACACGCAATCAATCAATGAGAAAAAAAATAGCCAACCTGTCATCATGATAATAATCATCATCTTCAATCATCCTTAAATCCACATGTTTATTGCAAAATATACTTGCTGTCGGAATGGGCTACCATTCATTTATCATAATCACCATCATCATCATCA